CTTGCCCCAAGGGTTTGTGTTGAAAAGTCTGCTGTGATTCTGATGGGCTTTCCTTTGTATGTGATTTGTTTCTTTTCTCTTACCGCTTGTAGTATTTTGTTCTTCTGTTGGGTTTCTGGGATCTTGATTATTATATGTCTAGGTGTAGATTTTTTTTGATTGTAGCTAGTTGGGGTCCTATATGCCTCAGTTATCTGAATGTCAAATTCTTCCCCTCTGTCTGGGAAGTTTTCTGTCATTAATTCTGCAAACAGCTTTTTTAAATCATTTGTATTTTCTCCTGCTACTTCATGTATTCCGATCAGTCTTATGTTATTCTTCTTTGCATCATCTAGGAGTTGTTGGATCAATTTCTCATGATCTCTTACTGTTTTTAAGAGACCTCTCTTTTCATGGTCACTGACTGCAATCTTATCTTCTATATCTGAGAGCCTATCTTCGCATTCTTTTATTCTGTTGCGTACACTATCAATAGAGTGTTTAATCTCCTGGATCTGTGTTTGAATCTGTTTTATGGATTCCATTTCTTTCCTATGTTGGGCGTTTATTTTTTCCATTTCTTTCTTATGCTGGGCCTTCATGGCTTCTATCATGGTCCTGAGCTCATCTATTTTTTTTGTCAGCTTCTGCTCTTGAGTCTCGAATCACGACTTCCATTTTGCTCACTATCTCTGTGGTTATCTGGGAAATTACTCCTGTTTTGAATTTTTCTAGAGCCTGATTGATCTGTTTTGTTACTTCCTGAACAGACATTTCTTAGATGAAGAAATACATCTGGCCAATATATACAGCAAAAAATGTTGTACACCACTGGCCATTCAAGAAATCTCACTCCAGAAGGAATGGCTACCATCAAGAAATAAACGAATAACAAACAAATTCTGGATGCACTGTGGGGAAAAGGACCTTTCTTCATTGTTGGTAGGTGTAAACTGGTGCAAACACTATGGAAATCAGTATGGAGTTTCCTCAAAAAACTAAAAATGCAGATTTCATTTGACCTAGCTATTCCCCTTCTAGGGATCTACCCAAAAGAGTTAAAGACATCATACCACAATGGGGTATGTACACCTATGTCTACAGCAGCACAATTCTTAATGCCTAAATCTTGGAAACCACCCTAGTATCCATCAATGGATGAATGAAGAAAGAAAGTGTATTTATACACAATGGAGCACTACTCTGCCATAAAGAGGGGAACCTGAGTCATTTAGAGGCAAATGGATGCATGCACCTTGAGACAATAATGTTAAGTAAATCAGACACATAAGCTTAAATATCACAAGGTTTCTCTTATATGAGAAATTCAATAAAGTGCAAAATAAAAGACAAGTTACTATAATCCAGCATAGACAATGTATCTAAAAGTGCACTTTTATTTAGTATAATTCTCCTATGTGTTTTCTGTATCTTTTTGCCTGTTAATCTGTATGTATAATAATTTTATAAGGACTTGTAAATTCTGATACTGGCAAAAATTATTTTTAAAAAAGGGTGAGTAAAGGGGAATAAAAAAGAATTGACATGTGTTATGTACATGTACCAATTTCTTATAATGATAATAATTATTATGTACTGCAAATATATACTCTTAAAATTTTTTAAATATTTCATATTATATTTAACTATGGACATAAAATAATAAACATCTTCCAACATAGACAAAAATTCAAAAATAAATTATAACTATGCAATGAAAACAGAACATTAAAAGAAAAGAAAGCCTTTTTGTGGGCTCCCAAATAATTCCTCCTCTGTATTCAGTGACACAAAAGCATTTTTAGCTTTCAGGTTCTGACAAATCCTGCTGTAACAACAACTGCCTCCTTTCCCCGCCTCTCCTTTCTTAACTCTCCCACAACTCAAAAAATGAGATGGAGAACCTGGTATTTATCTTCTAGCACCATCAGCATTTTTCACCTCTCTGATTTCTATGTGGCTCTTTATTTGCTATTTTCAAGTTAACTTGCTGCAGCATCATAGAAACAATCAGACTCTGAGAAACAAGCCTCACATGTGGTTTCTCTTCATCAGACCTAAATGAGACTACATTAATTTGAAGATAACTGAGAGAGAGGAGTTAAGACTGTACAAGATACCGACAAAAGGTAAGGAAAATGAGAAGCTTCTAGAATGTTCAGAGACCTAAATACAGATCTTCAGGTATTGTTTAGTTGGAATTAGAGACTGTAAATATGTTATTAAATATTTTTTACAGAAATAAATCCTGCTTGGAAAACTGGATTTACATTTTAATGAAATCTACTGCAAAATTTCTTTTGGTAAATATTTCATAAGTTCAACATTTTCAGGTCTGTCCTGTGTGCAGGGTGTTCTAGGATCACAAGTTTGTGCACTGTCATAGCATTTTTCTACCAAAACCACTGCTACTGCAACAATGGAAACATAGTAGGTATACTTTTATTCTCTACAATATAAAAATTTGAGAGAACAGATCACAAACTGTATTGTATTTGTGGCTGGAGTGGGAAAAAAGTGTCAGAGGCACAATGATAGAATATTTATATAAAAGAAACAAATAGTGACCTTCATTTTGGGAAACAAATTATTTCTCTGTAAGTTTTCTATTCAGAAGAAAGCACTTTAAGTCCAATCTTCAACACTAAGCAAGTGCTAAGCTAACTAGATGTAAAGTCCTATTATTTACTATTGTTTTGCCTGTCTGTAACTTATCACTGCCAATGATATGATGAACAAGCTGTCTACGGGTCTGAATGACAAGGAAATTTATATGATGTATTAGATAATGAGAAGAAAAGGGTTATAATTAGTAAGTGGGACACAGACTGATCATATAAAGTTATTCAACCAAAGGAAGAATGAAAGAAAAAAAAGCAAGCAAGCAAACAGATCAGAGGGAGTATTATCAGCAAGCTCACTGCTTTAGAATGATAGGCTGCACATTGTTTGGGAGGCAGTAATTTAGCAAGCCAGTTAGAGTCTGAAATGCTAAAATCAGTTAAATTCGAAAACAGTTATTATAGAACTATAAAATATGTCCTTAAATGCAAGAAACTTTAATTTTTGTTCTATTTTGGTCTCATAATAAATTTGGAAAACAGAAATGGTATGACAATAGCAGATCCTAAGCACACTGATTTTTACAAATAAGTCTGACACTTAAGAACATCAAATCTCAGGGAAATCCTCCTGTAAAGGTGTAGAATTTACATTTCAAGACTATCAACAAAAATAGAAGCCACGGACACTATGGAAAAGGAGTGGGTGAAACAGTTCATGACGCTTTTAGATCCCCAGTGCAGCATTTTCTCCACTTCCCAGGGGAAACACAAAGGAGAAAGTTTGCAGTAGGAAGTATGGTGGTAAAGGGATGAATGGAGGAGGTGAAAGCAGGGTGAAGTAGGAAGAGATAAGAAAGATCGGGGCACTGCAGACCACAGGCTAGGTTCTTATCTGCAATGCCCTTATCTGGTAAAATAATGATGCCCAAGATGATAGCTGAGGTTTCTTTCAGCTCCAAGATTCTAAGAAAATAAATCAGTCTAAGGAAAAAGAGGAAAAAGAACAAGTTTCAAATGTCTTTAAATATCAATGGTCTTATGATATAAAAATAAAGTAAGAAATAGCAAAGATGTCATTATAAACCACTGCATACTTTCTGTGGTTCAGTTATTGTTCTAAGCCCTTAAAATGGGTCCATTTATCAAACCCTATGCCATAGGCACTAAGAGCCTCATTTTCCAGAATAGGATACTGAAAACCCAGAGTAATTACACAAAGCCAAGAACCAGCCAGACTGTTTGAATCAAGAGCCTATCCTACATTTGCAAAATACACACAAGTCTGACAGAACCACTCTGATATATCATTTGAAATTAATTCATTTAGACAAAAGAAGCTAGTATCACAGTATGTCAGAAATTGTCAAATTTTTTCCTCAAAGAAAGAAGTTGAGTACCACCAGATGGAATGGATAATGGTGCAACAAGAATAGGAAGATGGAAATAGGAAGCCCTTTTGTTTTTTAAAATACTGTCAGCCAGAGTTTGCTCTTTTTCCTACTTCTACATTTAAAAAAAAATTAACTCATTTTGGTATTCTTTCACATACAACTAATGATGTATCTATGCCTGGTATTCTGCAATTTTCTGTCAGTTCTTCTGAACTGTTCAAACACCTGGTTTTGTAGTAAAATGCTACATCCGGGTCAAGGAATGATTCTGATCTCAACTAAAAAGGATCACTCACATTCTCATAGCAAAAACAGTGGCTCAACTGGTCTTGTTTCAAGTACCAGGTACCCAAAGTGAAACAAGTGCTAACTTAGGTAAGGACTATACAATTGGATATGAACTAGAAATGGTGGAAAAATCAAGCGAGTACCTGATTTCCTTTCTCTTCTTTCCTTTCTCTTTGAACAATCCACTGGCTCATATGCCTGGCACCTGGTAGCTACTACATAAAAATGTGCTTATTAAGGCCATTTCTTGAATACTTACAACTTGTTTAGTACACACACACATACATTTTATATATATATCTATAATAAATTATTCTGAAGGGCATTTTAAATTGTAACCTATAAATCATTTTAATGGAAAACAATGTTATTTAACAAAATCTACAATGCTAATAAAATTTTCTATTAGATCCTATAGTTGGAATTTGAAATATCTTTACATTTTCAGCATATTTTGGGTTTTCCAAAGAACAAAGTGGACAACTCCTTTCTTTATGCCATAAAGCAGCCCCCATACACAACTAATTGGAAGAATGTCAGTCTCTGACCTTTTCTCCTGGGCTGCAGCATCCTCATCTGCTGTATGTGTGAGCACACATGCGTGTGCAAAGCAGGAGGGCTATTCTGCTGTGTTCCAGCTTTTACTCTAAGGATAAACTTTTTATTTACTTGTTTCTTTCTTCCCTTTAATACTGACTTTGTCTTCTTTCCCTAGCTTTTGACTCTCTACTGCACAGAAATTAGCTACAATTTGAACTGAGCACTAACAGAGTTAAAAATCAAGATCTTCCAGGACAGAGATAAGAGTAACATCATGGCCTCCCTGGGTTTGCAGCTCCTTGCTTTCATCCTGGCCATATGTGGGGTCTCTGGAGTGCTCACGGCCACTCTGCTGCCTAACTGGAAAGTGAATGTGCATGTGGGCTCCAACATCTTGACAGCCATTAGACAACTCCATGGGCTGTGGATGGACTGCACATGGTACAGCACTGGGATGTTCAGCTGCATGCTGAAAAACTCGATCTTGTCCCTCCCGCTCCACGTGCAGGCTGCCAGAGCCAGCATGGTCCTGGCATGTGTTCTGTCTGTCTTGGGGATCTGCATTTCCATCATAGGAATGAAATGCACTCACTTAGGAGGGGATCAAGAAACCAAGAGTCAGGCTTCCTTAGCTGGAGGAGTCTGTTTCATGTCCTCGGGGATCTCTGGCTTAATACCCACAGTGTGGTACACAAAGGAGATCATCGTAAAATTTCTGGATCTAACAGTTTCAGAAAGCAACAAATATGAGCCTGGAGGAGCTGTTTATATAGGATTCCTTTCAGCAACGTTGTTGTTTATCTCTGGCATTCTTTTCTGCATTTCCTATACTAAAAAGAATCCAGAAGTCTGGCTGTCCCTTCCCAAGCAGGAGCAGCCCTCTACTGCTCAGTTAGAAAACAGTTCTGCATACAACCTGAAGGATTATGTGTAAATAGGTATCAGATTTATTTTTTATTTCCTCTACGAAGAGTATAAAATACTTTAAAAACTACTAAGTAGTTTAAAATAGCAACAATCAAATACAATTACATATTCTAAGATTTATTTTTCCATGATTGCTTTCATGTTTTACTTAGAGGTTTACAACTGAAAGAAGTTCTCATTACATTAGTAAGACAATTGGCTGATAGCATTTTTTTTCCTTTGTAAGGTAACTTGTTGATACATTTTCTGGATTTTATAAAAGAACTTAACTGCCAAGTACAAAAGGTACCTTGGTCATCAAGAATGCTACCTATATTTACTATCTGGTGGCCAACACCTGAAGAACTTGCTTCTGCTTTAGAGCCACAAGAAATGAATGTGATGCTGGGAACAGAAGAATGGTCCTCTCCATTCAGGTGTTGCCCAAACCATCTATTCCAAGTCTTTACTGCCACTCTCACTTTCAAATTATGAAAGTACATACAGGCATGTACAGGAGCCAACATTAAAACCTAAGATGAGGCAGAATGAAAAAAAGCATAAATGCTGCAATACAAAGAAAAGCCAACCTAATCACAAACTAAAATCTCTAGGACTTTTAAAGCATTAAGTACAAGCCAAGTGATAAGAATACATGTTTGTTTTAAAATGGCCAAGAACTCAACTCTAGCTTCTAGCAAAACAATTCTCCAGATTCAGTTCATTTCTCCTGTAATAATTTGGATTTATTATTGTCCCACTTAATCTATAATACTATTCAAGTTATTATCTGAATGATAAAAGTTATCATAAATTGTCAATTTTCCCCCTTAAATTTGATTCAAGTCAACAAAAATATTGTGCTCTTATGAGTAGCATCAATTAGCTAATCAATGTGTAATATTTAAAGTATAAAGAATGCTTTTGAAATACAGGTTAAAAGAATCTGATATGTATTGAAACATCTTAATATTAGTTTATGATACACAATTCAAATATTATCTCATGATATGTATCTAAATATTTTAAGAAAATAAAAATGATTTTCTGTAAGAACAAAGAAAAAAATTGCATACTTGTTTCTAATTATTTGTTAATTTATGCTTAAGAACAACTTATAATACAATGGCAAAAGGAAAATGTATATTAATAACTCTGAAAGTAGGAAGATATTGTAAATAATTTGCAGTGTGCATACAAAAATAAATACTGAAGTATTTTACTTACACCTATTTTACTTAGTAGATCACCATTTTCCTCTGCATCAATATCATTACCTATTAAGGGGATAGCAAAAATGAAAAGGTACTATGTCATATGAAAACTAAGAAGGAAGTCATTTTAACATAAGTTTAAGTGATTGTTAAAAGTATGTACTCCTTTTGAGTGGTCAAAATATTATTTCCCAAACAAAAGAAAATGTCACATTGAAAATAAATGATTATTTTTAAGCAAATTAAATCGCTAGGACTGCTTTGACACCTCTGTGTTCTCTCACAGTGCTTAATGTGTCTATTTATATACAATCTATGCAGCCTAGAGTTCTACACTGTACAAAAAGTTCGCCTTATGCATTTTATGTAACACTACATTAAAAAAAAGTTTTAATTACCTCAAGAATGTTTTCTTAACAAGACAGAAGGATGTTTCAAACTCTCAGAAAAGCAGCCACTTTCTACAAAAATCAAGGCCCAATTTTATGAGGAATGAAAAGAGTGATGATGAAATAAATGGTGTGCAGCCCCACTATCCCCACCTGTGCTGCCTATTACTTCTCCACCCACAGTCCTCTTGCTTCAGCCCAGCTCCCATTCTCCTTTAGGGCTCACACGGGCCTCTTCTGTGATGTGATGTGAACCCTGATGCCCTCAAAGGTTTGTGGCCTCCATGTCTGCTCTCAGAAAATGCTCTATATGAATAGGATATGAGTTCACAAGTGGCTTTTCCCGGTAGGCTGGGAGACGAGATACTGTTTTTACCTTTGTTCCTCAGTGTCTTGTCACTACAAGTTCCACAGGCCAGGACTACGTGCCAGTCTTGGTCTAAATCCTCTGCATACACTGGCTGGCTTAAACCCCTCAACAACACTAACAGATGGGCATGATTCTCAGTAGCTGACAGAAATTGAAGCTGAGAGAGGTTAAGTTATTCACCTCACTTGTCCAAAGCTACCTAGTCAGTAAGTGAGGAGATGGATTTGGCCCAAGTAGACTGGGCTTCAGAATTAAACCACTTGTGTGCAAGCCCTAAGGGATGCATATTACACAGGACTCATGGAAAATCTTGGTTTGCTCATGTGAAAATGGGAATGAATATGGCACCATTTTACAGAGCTGGCATGAGAAAACAAACACTGGGCAGTTAGAGCACAAAAAGCATGCAGTGCCACTCTGATTCAAGACCCAATCCTGTGGTTTTCATAGAGGCTGAATGTAACCTCAGGGGACAAGTGGCAATGCCTGGAGATACTCTGGGTTGTCATAGATGAGGTACTGCCTAGTGTGAAGACAGCAGGGATACTGTTAAACTTACAATGTATAGACAAATCCTGCAATGAAGAATTATCTGGCCCCAAATATCAATAGTTATGAGGTAAAGAGAGTTTGGTCTAATTTACTGAATATATTTCAGTATTTTTCTTTGATTAAAAAGTTATCAAAATACCCAGGGATTTAGCTCAGCAGTTCGGTGGCCTGCCTTGCAAATGCAAGGACCCAAGTTCAATCCCCAGTACCAAAAACAACAACAACAACAACAACAAAACTTATCAAAATAAATGACAAAGCATCAAAATAACCACCTAAAATATCATGCTGATTTTTACATATGGAATGTGTATATATGTAAGGATATGCACACATGTACACACACACACACACACACACACACACACACACACACACACACACACACACACACGGCTATAGTTTGGATATGGTTTATCCCTAAAGCTCTCTAGTATGGAGAGTATTGTGAAAACAACCATTAAGATATGGGGACTAGTGGAAAGTAATTAGGTGTTGAGAATGGAATAATTCTAGTCTGACAGGAGGTAGTGTACACGAGGTATTATAAAGTAAGATACCCCTACTTTACCTTCTCTTCTGCACATAGTCGTTCCTCTTTCAGTTTATCTGCCTCGTTGTGAAGCTGCCAGGGAAGCGCTTGCCAGACAGCATGCTGTTTGAACTTTTCAGCAACCAGAACTGTGAGACAAATCATCCTTTCTTTTCTTTTGATTTTTCACTACATAGTTCAGACCTTCAGCTCCTAGAGATCCTGTTGCTTCAGCCTCCCAAGTGCTGAGATTACAGGTATGTGCCACCACACCCAGCTTGTGCTCATTTCACTTCCATATGTATGTATATATTATATATAATATATAGCACACCATTTGCAAAAATGCAACTTTTCCATATACGTGTGTGTGTGTGTGTGTGTGTGTGTGTGTGTGTGTGTGTAGTGCACCATTTGCATTTGCAATTTTTCTTCCTTCTTTGGATCTGTAATGCTGACTGCTTAGTATATTTTTGTTTGTTTGTTTGTTTTTGGTTATTTTGAGACAGGGTCTCACTATGTAGTTGAGACTTACCTGGAACTCACTATGTAGCCCAGGCTGGTCTCAAACTCACAGCGATCCTCCTGCCTCAGCCTCCCGAGTGCTGGGATTACAGGCGTGCACCACCATGGCCGGCTGCTAGTTAGGACTAGGACTACATCAGAACTGTAATGGTAAATTCTGTTTCTACTCAGTGTTTATCTAATTTTTAAGGATGACTCTGGTACTTCTCTATAAAATTGGTTTTTATTTTTATTTTGGACTTAACTAGGGGCAGCACTGTAGCACTGTGGCAAGGCATTTTGGACTTAACTAGTTCTAAAAAGAATTTGAGGCCAACAACAAGAAGATTGTAAGTATAAGTATAAAAACCACTAATAAGGATGGAAGACTAAAGTTTCAAAGACAGAGAAATGCTTCAAATGATCCTAACTGAAAGATGCTAAAGCAATTAAATGTGAAACTTCATTTAGAAATCCCAAGTGACCATGGCAGAGAAGACCACAAAAGTTTTTACTGCTCTGTCTATGAGTAGGAACCTTGATAATCTGCCCAAGCTCCATTTACTGGGCTGGTACCAGGCCCCAGTTACAGGGATATTGGGAATCACGGATCTGAAGTCACCTCTGCAGAGAGGCTGTACCACTGCTCCCAGTAGCAGCCAGCAGTGCAGGCTCATCTGGCATGAAGTCCACAGGGGAGCATCAACTCTGAGGGCCAATCTGTGCTCCAGAATGACCCTTTCCCACTGTGGACCTAGGTGACGGGTCTCCAGAAGCAAGTTTATTGCTTTGCTTTTCCCCTGCTTTCTCTCCTTCCTTTCTCCAGACAGCCCTTCTCAATACATCATTACAAAACCCCATCTCAATCTATGATTCTAGTAAGCCCCTTTAAACATAGAAGAATCATATTTCAACAGGAAAATATTAGCCTGTCCTCATGCCCAAATGATTCTCAAGTAGTAATATGCAACAGCATGGACAGCCTCAATATCTGATTTCAAAAACCACAAAGGCAAAAAAAAAAAGGCTAACTCTGGTGGAGATCCATCCACCCACCCACTGAATTCAAGACCATTTTACAGAGAGTTCAAGGCCTCGATGAGCTATGGCCAAGTTCATGTAGAATGCTCTAAAAGGTTGTCCTCAAAGGTCAGATGTAGATGCCCACGTCCCAACCTTTTCATTCATTATTTGTCATGAACACATCATCGATTCATCCAAAATTTATTGATTTACTTAAATCTGTACCATTTGGTAGGTAACTTGTTCTACACACTATAGCATACATCTAAACAGGTAAATCATATATAATATATATGTCTTGAAGATTATAATCCACACTATTTGTTTATAATACTACCATCGCAGCTACTTTCACTGACTGCCTCCATGTGCCTGATACTCACAGGGGGCACTTGGCACTATTATTGCTATTCTTTAACAGTCCTTCCAAGCTGCTATCACTGGCCCTTTCTGGATATGCTAAAGTCAGCCAACTGATTAGGTTCTCCTACCTAGGAGCACTGGAATTTCAGTAGGTCTAGCTGACTGTGAAGTCCACTGCCTCTCCCAGTGTAAATCAAAGAGAGCCTAGGATCATTCTTGTATCTAAGTGATTTTCCACTAGCCTACAGTCCAAAAGAATGGTAAGACCTGTGGGGTAGATGTCAACTTATGAAGTCTATTACTACAATTTATAAAACCAAAAGGGTTACAACAAATTGAGGACTAGCTAATAGCTCAGTATTTCTCAAGTTTGGGTAGTGAGCAGGCGAGCCTGTGCAGAATCCCAGAAACAGGTGGATCCAAGGAAAGTGGATTTTCAAAAAGTAGCTTGAGAAATGTAACAAACAAGTTTTATTCTGTCACAAAAACATTTTTAAGTGTGAATTTATATTCTAAAAGAAATTCTTTGCAATTGGTAAAATAATCAAACAATGAAATAAAAAACAAAAAAATTTCTAACTTAGGGTATACATTCTATATATTCTAGTAGTTTAAGGAACACCTAAGCAGACTAATTAGTCTAATTCTAAGAATCTAAGAAGCCTTTATGTAGATAGAAAAGTATTTGAGGTTCAAATTTTAGGGAAAAAGTAGTGAAGTTCATCAGAATAAACTCTGGAGAGAATTAAGAATCAGTTAGAAAGCCAAGCGTGGTGGCGCATGCCTGTAATCCCAGCACTCAGGAGACTGAGGCAGGAGGATCGCTGTGAGTTCAAGACCAGCCTAGGCTACATAGTGAGTTCTATCTAGGTCAGTCTCAACTACATAATGAGACCCTGTCTCAAAAGACAAACAAACAAAAGAATCAGTTAGAAAAGGACAGTAGGAATTCCATGTCAGTAAAAGTTCTGCCATTAATGCTTGATTGAGTAGGCTAATTGAAAGACCAATACACAGAAGGGATAGCAAATTCTTACAGAAAAATATCCTTATGTGGGTATAAATAAGCCAGTCATACCACAAAAGAAATTCTTCACATCTAATTTTAAGAGTTCTGTTTAAAAATAAATAATGAATATTAATAAATTTCTACGGAACATTAATTCCCTCTCTTAATTCCTCCAAGAATGTGCCTGCACATCTATGGTTGTGTCTATCACTTTCTCTTCTTGCATTCAGAAAGTTTAGCCAAAGGGACTATTGGCCAATAGTAAGCATCCTACAACTCATCTTCGTAAGAACTCTTCCCTTTCTTTTAATCTGAGGAAATTTTTAAAATTTGCTCAATGCAACCATCAAATATTTTCAAGTGTTACTAGGGTATTTCTAATTTTTCTAATATAGTAAAACTAGTTCAGAGCAAAGGAAAATTCTTTAAGAACTAAAATTTAATCATTTGATTTGTTTTCTTTTAACAATACATTCTCCTTCTTGATAACTGCTTTGTTAGATTACAAATAAATATCCTGAATGTACCATTTATAACACAATGAAAGCATAAGAAGAAAATTGCTATGGATATATTTAATTTGACAAAAAAGAAAAATATCCTTAAATAAAAAGAGAATTAAACAAATAGCTAGTTTTCTAAAATAATATTTTCTTGAGCTTTAATCTTAGAGAATATGTTAGGTACCATACCCCAAATCAAAGATAAAGCTGATAATAATTTCTAAACATGATAAAATACCTTCAACTACATAAGTAAAACCAAGAGAAACTTTTTGCTTAATATTTTAACACAAAAAATTTGGATAGACTAAAGATTCTGGAGTATAGCAACAACAAAACCTTTAAGTCAAGATCTTGGTTTCTGGTGTCATAGGTCCAGTACCATTCAAAAGGCTTTATGTAGACAGATATGCATGACAAAAAGAAAGCAAACTGTATGGTCACCTTTTTTTCCCCTCATTATAACAGCCAGCTATTATAGGAGAGAAAGTTCTTGAAAGCATAAATATGTTAAGATTGATGATGACCTGTAAGATAACACTCATCAAATTATGTCTACAATATAATTATTTTGGGAGAAGTCATTTATAATGTCTTTGAAACCTTGAGATACTGAAGGGAGGTAGTACTGCGAGTGAGTTTCCTGAGGCTATTTTAGAAAAGCTGACAAGTCTGTAAAAGAAGTGGAAGATAAATGAATTTCTACAGTCACCTGAAAGCTCAGCTAACTGGGGAGGACAAAACGGCAGAGAAGTGTTAAGATGGTAGCAAAGATGGTAAAGATGTTTGAGATGCTCTAAGACACACAACAGACTCAACATTACTAGTGGGAGGCCTCATTCCAAACCTATTAGATACAATCACATAATACAGTTTTTTCATGTTATTTATGAAGGGAAAATTATGTAAAGGAAACTTGAATTTGGGAGTTTTAGCTACCAATGAAAGATTTCTACTTTTTATCAGGCTCTGAACTCCCCGAAGACAGATTCAGGATCTGAGAAAGCGCCTCCCTCCATGCTGCACATCCAGCCCAGCACTTTTCAAGAAGTAAGCATGCAATTCAGTGAAGAAATAGATGACTTTTTATAGTACATAACCCGTAATAAATCAACAAGCAATGCTTTTGCTAAAATAGACAAAAGCTTCTTTTATTTGGCATACAGGAACTTCGTTTTTGCAATTAAAAGTTACTCATGTAAGCAGCATTTATTTTAACACTGCCAAAAATGTGTTTAAAAAACTTAATAAATAACATTCGGGTGTGGTAGCACATGCCTGTAATCTCAGCACTTGGGAGTCTGAAGCAGGAGGATTACTGTAAGCTCAAGGTGAACCTCAGTAAATAGTTCAGTGCCAGCCTGAACTACAAAGGGGGACCTTGCCTCAAAAAACCAAAATTGACAACAACAACAATAAATTGATACAACTTTAGTTAGAATTCTCTAACAGGCCGGGTGTGGTGGCACATGCCTGTAATCGCAGCACTCAGGAGGCTGAGGCAGGAGGATCGCTGTGAGTTCGAGACCAGCCTGGGCTACACAGTGAGTTCCAGGTCAGTCTCCACTACACAGTGAGACCCTATCTCAAAAGA